ATATATATATATGTATATATATATATATATATATATATTGTGTGTGTGTGTGAATATAAACGTACTTTGTAAAACAATACATAAAGTAATCTAACATTACTCCAATGGTAAATTATAGAGTTGTAAACCCACATCCAAAATCATATTTCTTTCAAGTGTGTAATTTTACTCATACTTAAGTACAATTTAGACCATGTAATCTACTTCGCTACTTTTAAAATCAGAAGTCACTACTGAGTACAGCCACAATTTGAATTAACATTCAAACTGTTCATCTGCATCTTTGTAGCCAATAAGGCTCAGATTGCAAACGCGCTAGTTACCTATGACGTAAGCAAAGGACAACTCTGTAGAGTAGAGAGTCATTTATGGATCGAAAATTTTTAGAAAAAGCCAAAATGGAGACAGAGGACAAACTGTCAACAGAGAAAATGACGAGGATGAAGCTGAGGACGAGTGTCCGTGGCCATACCTGAGGAGTTTTTCATGTCCAGAGGGCGAAAGGAGACAGAGTCCAGATGCAAACTTTGTTTGATCTCCACAGTGAGAGCAGCTGACAAGACTTCAGCATCTAATCTCACATAACACATTGTGGTATACGAGGTTTTACAGCCTGTATGATATTGCTTTTTTTTTTTATTGTTTGTATGTGTGAGGTATTATTTTGGTTAAGTATGCAAAGATCTTAGATACTGTCTCTGCCATCGGTTTACCTGGTACTAAAATAAGACGGAGCTTCTGAGCGTCTGAGAAATGAGCTTTGAAAGTAGCGATTATATCCAGTGCATCAAACTGAATGACTTCTGCTGACAACACAGTAATACATCAACTGGTAAAAACTAATTACTCTGAATAGTTTTTGAGAATTGTTCTTTGTACTTTTACTTAAGTATTTTTTATAAAACCTGTTCTTTCACTTGTAATTAAGTACAAGTTAAGCAGTGTAACAGTACTTGTACTTGAGTACAAAATTTCAGTACTCTTTCCACCTCTGATAAAAACACAGACAGACATGAAGGGTGACCAGTGGAGCAGATTTATGTGGAAAGATTTTCGTTCATTCAACCTTTATTTAAACAGACTAGACTCACTGAGCCACGAGGACTCATTTACAAAATGGACCTGTTCCCTCATGGAAGATGGACATGAAAAACTAACATACAAGGTTTTTGCCCGACAGCAATGATACGATACAATGTTAATCACCTCAGCATTTAAAGACGTTACAAACACAAGTCTTTTTTTTTTTCCATCTTTTGATGAAATTTGTTGACATTATTTTTAACTGTTATGTGAATTTGAAAACGTTCTAATAACCTTTAACAGTCCTTGATGAGTCCCCGAGGCTCAGTGGGATTAACCTGTCTAAATAAAGGTTGAATGAATTAACCTTGTGTTTAAAGAGATAGCGCCTTCTTTTCACAGATCCATGCGTTCTTTTCTTCACAGCTCACTGGTTTCCAGCCTTGGTTTTTCACAGAAACCACACACAGACTGTCATTTGCAGGTGGACTGATCCAGTCACTGAAGAGAAAGAAGCAAAAGATTAAAGCATCGATTTTTGTTATTCAAAGTGAGTAAAAAACGTGTTTCTTACTTATCGGTCAGGTAGCTTCCATCAGTCCATTTCCATTTTTCTTCTTCAGCTTTCAGACCGATCCAGTACTTCTTCTCATCTGGTCCAGGAAAACTGATAGCCTCAATAAAATCCTAAGAATGAAGTAAGGAAATTCTCAGACTGTAAAATCTTAACTTACATGATCAATACTTAATAGGTACTGTAAACATATATTTTTAGTTTATTAACGGTTTACCTTTTCCTTTTTATCATCAACAACAGTCAGAACTGAAATCTTTCCTCTGCAGTCTTTTTGTGCATCTTCCCATCTTATCTGAGAAGAGGGCGGAGCATCATTGTATTCATAACAGTTAGACTCGTAGAATAACCAGCCCTGCTGACAAGGTTCACATGTTCTGACTGAAACAACAAAAATCAAACAATGAACATTATAACAGAATATGTTTTTAAATTTATTTTACAATATATACATACCTTTAAGATTTTGGGGACAGTAAGCATCAATGATCCACTGAGTTCGACTCACACTGAGGTCAATCCAAGTTTTCTCCATAGTTTCTATTTGTTCTGTGAGATTCTTCCTCTCTGTCTCCACTTCCTGGTTTATTTTTGTCAGGCGTTGGTTTTCTGCAGTCAGCTTTGTGTTGTTTTCAGACATCACTGAAGTAACTGAACAAACAAACAAAAACAAAAAAAAAAACAGGTGATGTCCGCTCAAAAAAAGTAAAATCTTTAACTTCAATTTGGTCGTGAGCAGTTTTGCTGTGTCCTTTGTTTGTTTGTTTCTTCGTTTTTTACTATTTTAAATACACGAGACGGATGAAAATCTGCATTCGGATTTTGTGTTCTAATCCTGAAATTTAAATGAGAAACTTCTCGAGAGATCACAAAGCGTGATGTCTTAACACTGAAAATCTTCATCTGCTTTTTGTGCTTTTCAAATCTGAGGTGACGAACATTGTACAACACAGTGGTACAGCATTTGTTTGAAGTTGAAATGTTAAAAAAAAATGGAGCCTTTTGCATATGTAAATTTAAAAAAAATTGTCACTTTGTTTAATACTTGTATAATAAGTAAAACTTTGTTACGATGAAATAAAACAAGAAGTCATCTTTGCCACCACGCTGAAGCAAAAGATTTAACTGAGAAAACTTGATGCAGAGTGAATTCAGCCATCTGACTACAACTGTTTTACATGAAGCTTGAAAAGGATGAATACAACCAGCTTGGAAATATTAAATATCATTATGTGTGAAGATGGGGAGGTATTGAGGAGGTGCTATGATATTTATGTAAATTTGTGGGTTGTAAGGTTATTGTAGAATTTGTAGAGGAAAATGTTTTGTATTTTTATTGTATTTAGATTTTTAAATTGTTTAATGTATAGTTTATATTATATGAATTTAGATGTTGTTAGGTTGATTACATTAACATGTAGACAGGAGTACGTAGGCACTCTTACTGTATTTTGATTGATAAATTGTATGTATTTTAATGCATAGAAATGCCCAAACAGGAACTGGAGTTGTGAATTAGCTGTAGCTATACTGTGTGCGCAACACATCAGTCACAGACTTGTTCTGTTCTATGTTTGTCCCTGTCAAACTAACTAACTAACTAACTAACTAACTAACTAACTAACTAACTAACTAACTAACTAACTAACTAACTAACTAACTAACTAACTAACTAACTAACTAACTAACTAACTAACTAACTAACTAACTAAAACAAGCTGTGAAAATAAATGAAATAGAGTATTTTAAAAGGATCATACTTGCACATATTGGCCTTAATATGTTATTTAGCTATTTTATCAAAATTAGTTGTTTTTGAAAGGTGAAAACTTTTGAGATTCAAACACAAGGAGTCAAGACTAAAAAGTTATAAGATGTGGCAAAACATTTACATTTTGTATTAGTCCGTATGCACAAAGGAGTTGGGACACCTGGAGAGCTGGTGCAGGAAGAGCAACCTCCACATCAATGTGAAGAAGTGGTCTCCAGTTACAAGTACACCCCTCCCCCCGTGTTTTCTCTTTTCCTTATTTTTGTCTGTCTGTAAAACAGGTCTCACTTGTAAATGAGTCTCCGAGACTCAATGTGATTAATCTGTATACATAAATTAATGGAATGGAAAAAAAATACTTGGGTGTGCACCTGAATGACAACCAGCTGGAGCAACAGCACCACCAGCCTGATGAAGAAAGCTCATCAGAGACTCTACTTCCTCAGGCGGCTGAGACGAGCTGGACTGGGATGCTCAGTCCTCACCTCCTTCTACAGGTGTGCAGTGGAGAGCATCCTGTGCTCCAGCATCAACGTGTGGCATGGAGGCTGCACAGCTGCAGAAAGAAAAGCTTTGCAGAGAGTGGTGAAGGCTGCACAGAAGATGTTGGAGTCAGTCTCCCCACCATCACCAACATCTACACCTCTAGATGCAGGAAGAGGGCCTCCTACATCATGAAGGACACCACTCACCCAGCACACACACTTTTTGCCCTGCTCCCCTCAGGAAGGAGGTTGAGGAGCATTAAGTGTAGAACCACTAGACTGAGGAACAGCTTCTACCCTGAGGCTGTTAGACTCATGAATCCCTAACCAGGATAATCACTGTAATGCCACTTTTGTTGGTGATATGCGACTTATCTGTGCTGCTGATTATCCGTGCTGCTGATCTTTTGCCTTCATGCTGCTGTATTCTTACCCATCTACTCACTACACACTCATGTTTGGGCTGCTGTTTAATATATCGTATTATTTTACATTATTAGTGTTTAGGGTATATCTTAGATCCTTATTTACTGGTTCTTTTTATACTTTATATTTTTTGCTATTTTGGGTTGTAACTGGGACCCTGTGTACACAGTTTTGTTCCACCTCAAGTACCACATGTGATGCAAATGACAATAAAGAACCTTGAACCATAGGACATTAGCTCAGGATCTAATAGCTTTAGCGCCTGCTATTAGCTCCTAAGCCAACGTCCTATGCATGTTATTTCTGGGGCTAACGTCATAAATATTAATTTTGTAGCTAACGCAAAAGCCAAGTCATTTCTGATTTCTTCTCTCTTTCAACGCACACTGGTTCAAATTGAAGGGCTGAATGTCTGATAATGTCCAAAATTAACATTCAAGCTGAATGGAGCTTGCATCAAAGCAACCTGTCTACATAATTTACCCAGAATGCATTGAAATGTTAATAAAATTTCGACATTGTGTGTCAACAATTTAAAAAAAAAAAGTATAAAAACTAAACAGCCTACAGTATTTTACAGTCTTGTTTCCCATAGCTGAAGTAATTGTTTATGAAATGAGGTCCATTGTTCCAACTAGTTGAAGATCCCTTTAAAAATCCAACTCTGAGAACTCACAGTAGATATGAAGGATGATGATCATCAGCAGAATCAGCCAACAAGCTGCGAGTGGAGCAAAAGACTGACTGTAGGAGAGAAACTTGTCACCTGACAGAAAAAAGTTAAAGAACAACAACAACAAAAAGTTGATTTTTTATTTTTTATGTTAAAACAGTCAGAAACTACGTTCATAATGTTAAAACAATGTTTTTATTTTTACTCTTTTTTTAAACTTTATTGTGAAATTTAAAAAAAACAATTTTAGATTTGAATACTCTGACTTTCTAACTCACGGGGAGTTGCTGGGACGTTATTCTCAGCTCTCTCTGCTAAATTCACATATTCAGGTTCCTCTTGGATTTCATCTGAAAGGCACAAACAAAAGACAAAGTTCATGTTTCATCAGGCAGTTACGCTTTAGTCACTTGGTAAATTTTTAAATTAGTATGAAAATGATTTTTTTTTTTTCCCCAAACACAAATGAATCATTATATTTTGTTTAATTCTAAAGTTTAGTTTATGCACTAACACAAATTAAAGTCCTTGACAATTCATTAAAAATCTTATTATTGTATATATATATATATATATATATATACATATTTATATATACAGTAGTCCCTCGCTACTTTGCGCTTCTTTTATCGCGAACTCGCTCTCTCGCGGTTTTTCAATACAAAATTGGACATGACACACAATTGGTTGATTGATGGATGAGCTGCACTATCATCATGAAATTTTTATTCAAAATAAATTGTTTTAAATTATTTAGCACCTGCTGCACATTTGTGCAGCCCAGACTGCAGGATAAACTTCCTGCTGCAGCTGATCAGCTGTTCTCCATGCAGAGTGGAGAAGTGGGCGTGGCCAAGAGCGCTTGCAGGTGGCAAAGAGCAGAGGAGGCAGGGAGCTGAAATCATGACATGTGCTCTTTTAGAGCGTTTAGAGCAGGGGTGCCCAAAGTGGGGCCCAAAGCCGTTTGATTTGGCCCACCAGGAGCTCTCCTTGTTCCTATATTAAAATCTCGTAAGCCAAAGTACTGTATTTTTATTCCACCATTGGAATGAATCAACACCACTGGTGATGGTCCACTGTGTTTTCTGAGGTCCGAGGTCAACGCAGCCATCTACCAGGAAGTTTTAGAGCACTTCCTGCTTCCTGCTGCTGACCAACTTTATGGAGATGCAGATTTCATTTTCCAACAGGACTTGGCACCTGCACAGTGCCAAAGCTACCAGTACCTGGTTTAAGGACCATGGTATCCTTGTTCTTAATTGGCCAGCAAACTCGCCTGACCTTAACCCCACAGAAAATCTATGGTATATTGTGAAGAGGAAGATGTGATTCACCAGACCCAACAGTTCAGAAGAGCTGAAGGCCACTATCAGAGCAACCTGGGCTCTCAGAACACCTGAGCAGCGCCACAGACTGATCCATGCCACGCCACATTGCTGCAGTAATCCAGGCAAAAGGAGCCACAACTAAGTATTGATGCTGTACATGCTCATACTTTTCATGTTCATACTTTTCAGTTGGCCATCATTTCTAAAAACCCTTGTTTTTATTGGTCTTAAATGATATTCTAATTTTCTAAGATAGTGAAATTAGGATTTTCATTAGTTGTCAGTTATAATCATCAACATTAAAATAAATACACATTTGAGATATATCAGTCTGTGTGTAATGAATAATATAAAAGTTTCACTTTTTGAATGGAATTACTGAAATACATCAACTTTTTCATGATATTCTAATTTTAGGACCAGCACCTGTACTTTTACATATGGAAATGCCAAAATGTATACATTTGTTTAAATTTCCTATATATGGCATTTGTTATATTTTGTGTTCTTTAACATTCTTTATACAGAAAGGAAGGTTAAATAACTGTATAAAAATAAAATTACTTTACTTAAAGAAATATTTGCATTTCATGTATTATATTATTGCACTTGGCTCACGGATAGATTTTCATTTTGGCCCTCTCATGGAAAAAGTTTGGGCACGCCTGGTTTAGAATTTAGAAACATCGTTTAGAATATTGCAAGAGTGTGGGGAGCTCTCCTTAGTAGTTCTATGTACTGTTCCCAGTCTGTGATGTGGTTCCACTTCAGCTGTTTTCTAGTTCATAAATATGATCAGCAAAATGGAAGAATAACAATAACTAAAAGATAATCATTTATGGTTGGACTGTGATGGTTTGAACCCTGAAGCCCAGTCCTTCCCTTTAAACAGTCACACACGAACATCAACACGACACATGCAGGAAAACATAACCAGAATTTAAAATCTAATCTGCATTTTTATGAACATTTAAAATGGACATGAAAAGTTTACATTGTAAAAGAACAGAATGATTTTCCAACAGAAGAATAATCTTAATAATTTTAGAACGTAAAGTGTCTTACCTGCTGATGAAGAGACGTGTGGAACCACACCCTGCATTTTTGTGCTCATGCTCATGAAGCCTCAGCACCAACACAAAGAAGCAGAAAACAGAAACGTGAATCTATGAATGTATGCAAAGAGTACTGCTTTGTTTCGTCTTTGATGTACAAAATATTTCAGGTTTTTATTCGTTTCTTTTTTCAAGTTGTGTCAGAAAAGACTTCTCCTTTTGCTGCACTTCTTCATTTTTTTTTTAACAGTTGGTATTACTTGTTGAGCAAAGCACTGTCACTTCTCAACTTATTGAAGCTTGTTTTCTCCTAAATTCATATCCATCCATCCATCCATCCATCATCTTTCACCTGCTTCTTCCATTTTAGGTCACGGGGGGTCACTGGTGTCCATGTCCAGCCATCACTGTGCGAGAGGCGGGGGACACCCTGGACAGGTCTCCAGTCCATCACAGGGACACATCGAGACAAACAACCATTCACTCTCTCACTCACACCTAGAGACAATTTAGAATCACCAATCAGCCTAACATGCATGTTTTTGGTCTGTGGGAGGAAACCGGAGTACCCGGAGAAAACTCCCGCATGCACGGAGAGAACATGCAAACTCCACCCAGAAAGGCCCGCCTCTCCACCATGGGGAGCAGGGCCTTCACCTGCTCTGCCCCTCATCTCTGGGACTCTCTACCCCCTGACTTACGAAACACCACCTCTCTTTCTCTATTCAAGACTGCTCTGAAAACACATCTCTTTAGACTCACTTATCCTTAACTTTGCTCTATGTATTTTATATTCTGTATAAATTTTATATTCTTTATGTATCTTCTTACTGTAAAGTGTCCTTGGGTGTCCTGAAAGGCGCTTTTTAAATAAAATGGTTATTATTATTATTTTATAAGATAAATTTACTTTTGATACTTAAGTACATCAAATCAGTTTATCATGGTGCCCTTCGATTCGTTACTGATTCCAGTTATCGCACTCATCACTGTGAACTTTACGTCAAGTCTAGCTGGTCTTCTCTCAGCGCTCGCAGATACACTCACTGGATATCCTTCATCTATAAGACCCTTCTAAACCTAGTCCCGTCATACCTTACCTCCCTAATACAAACATCACACAATCATTACTCCCTGCGCTCTAATGACTTAATCCTCCTGTCAGTTCCTCTGGTCAGAACTGAACTAGGAAAAAGAGCATTCAGCTTCGCCGTCCCCTCAGCCTGGAACAACTTACAGACAGATTTGAAACTATCAACACTCATCTCGCCTAGATCCTTCATGTCAACCGTATCAGATAATGTTATCAAAAATATGGACCATTGCAGATGTTTCTAAAACACTACTTATCAAATATACATGTCTTTGTTGACTTTTAACTCTGTCTACTTAAACTGATGTCTGTTCTACATTTAATGTCTACAGAAGTCTGTCTTATCCTGATGGTTTCAAACTGTTAACATTTATTTATCGTGATAGTAGTTTCTTTTTTCTTTTGATAAATGTAAATGCTTATTGTCAATTACCCTGTGACGTGTGCTGATGACCACTTGACCAGGTCACCCTTGTGAAAGAGATCTCGATCTCAACGGGCTCTACCTGGTAAAATAAAGGTGATTGATTGATTGATTGATTGAAATGACCGATACTTTAACTTTTACCAAAGTAATTTTATGGTAAGATACTTGTACTTTCACTGAAGTATCACTTTGAGGTACTTTATACAACACTGCCTTTTGGATTTATTTACCTGGATGATGGAGCTTACATCAGGACATAAACATGTTCATTTATAAATAAAAAAAGAAAAATATCCAGGGCATTGAACACGTTTTATTTCTTATAGTATGCCACAAAACATTATTTCTTTTCATTTCGACAAAGAAAAATACAGTATCAAACAATTTATTTACAATTACTTATTTACAATTTATACATTTTCTGGTTGTCTTCATCTGTATTAAACTGCAACAGCACACAATTCAGGTGACTTCTGATTGAGTGCTGTTGTGCAAACTATTCATTTTATTAATAAAAAAAAACTAAAAAAGGTGGTTCAAAACTAAGGAAACAATTATATTTATTTCTTTCAAATATTAATAAACCTCATTTGTGATGGAGAAACAGCGCTCATAATTCTGAGGAACAAGATTCACATTTCTGCTGGATTGATTGAACCAGTTGGATTTCGTTCATACCAGTGTCAACTCAAGTCTTTGAGTAAAATTCTAAATAAAAAGTAAAAATGCTGGTGAGTTACTATTTTAGTTAATACATACTTTGTATTTTGTATTAAGTTAATCAGAGCATCAGCATAAATTATGCTTTTTTAAATAAACTTGAAAGAAATTCACAAATACAAACATAAAAAAAAACAGTTTTTAACATCATGGATATCTTTCCATAAAGGAAAGCAGCGCCCTCTTGTGGCTAAACAAACTCATAACAGGCTCCTGAAATAAATAAAGAACACTTTGGTGAAAATTGGCTTTTAATGAGTTCTTAATGGCTCCCTTGTAGAAGTGACTTCACATTTACAGAAAGTGTCAGTTTATTGTCATTAAATTGGAAAAATTATTAATAAATTAAAACAAAACCTAACTGAAAAATCTTGTTTGAATTATGACGCTTACGGAACATTTTAAAGAACAAGGAGACCAATAGATTTCCAGGTGTATCTAAGGTTAATATGTTGCATGTGTTGCAGATAAAACATTATTAATCTAGGCACAATAAAAACTTTGTTTTCTTCCACTCAACCAGTTATGAAACAATACAACTGAAAAAATATAAACACATTTATTACCATTTAATGATTATATGTCTTTGAAATATTTATAAATTAGTTGTCAGAATCACTAAAGTAACCTATAGGAAAAGGAAGGAAGCTACGTTATTGCTATAGATTTCTACGGTAAAAAAAATACAAACTTTTAAACTATTACACATTTAATTTAAATAAACAAACTAATTTAAATGGATTCTACTATATAAATGTATTTTTAGAGTATTAATTTATCTAGGAGGAAGAAGAAACCTGTATAAAACAATTTGAGTTAGGTAATGCATTGACTTTTACTACAAAACACACGTCATGGTGTTTATTTTTTAGATACTCACCATAAATACAAACTCCAGTGATGACCAGCAGCAAAAAGACACAAAGAGTCCCAGAACAAGAAGCTGCTGACAGTGCTGAATTTATTTATTTATTTTGTGTGTCTTTGTCAGACAAAACTCCTGCCGAGCAAACAAGAAATGTGAATATTAAACTTTTTGAAGAAAAACATCCTGATTAAAACCTAAACAACTTATTTCAACATTCACGTGACACCACATCAGCAGAAAATGTACTTCCCTTTTCTAATATATTGTATTTACAATAATAAAAACAAAGGTCATTGTTTGACTTTCACAGGGAAATTACAGAGAAATTACTGTTGTTTTTTCCTCAATAAAATCATTTCTTGTTGGATACTACTGGTAGTCTTGAACAATTAAAAGTACATTTTTATTATAGATTTTTATGTGTTTTCCCTCAGCCAGTGTCAGAACTACATGTTCATGTTGTTTTGGGAATAAAGAGATTTAAAGAAGTGACTGAGTGTCCTGGTCAGCTGTGGTACCAGTACAAGCATTAGTAGAAGTAAAAAGCATTCTTGGTGTTGCACTGGTCCTAATGCTTGTTTTAATTCAGTCAAATTTAAAGCAAACTTATCTTCTTGTCAAATATTTTTCATTTATCTTTTTTTTATAACACTATTTGTTAAGAAACTGCTTCTTTGCGGAGCTTCACCTCATCGAACAGTCTCTTTTGTTTCAGCTGAAAAGTTTAATTAGTCGAAGATCAATGAATCATTTCTGAGACATTTTTAAAGAATTAAATATGAGGGATTTGTTTTATGGTGGCACGGTGGCTCAGTTGGTAGTTGGGTGGAGTTTGCACGTTCTCTCCTCCGTGCATGTGTGGGTTTTCTCCAGGTGCTCCCACAACCAGGAGATCAAAAACATGCACGTTAGGCTGATTGTTAACTCAACTGTCTCTAGGTGCGAGTGAGAGAGTGAATGGTTGTTTGTCTCTATGTGTCCCTGTGATGGACTGGAGACCTGTCAGGGCGTCCCCCGTCTCGCACACAGTGATAGCTGGACATGGGCACCAGTGACCCCCACGACCTGAAAAGGAAGAATCGGGTAAAGATGATGGATGTGATCTCAGTTCACAAATAAACTAACATTGCACATGAGAACTGCCTCACAAACACAGATGCAGACAGTCACAAGTGTCACAATTAAACAAGAACTGACCTTTTGATTCGGATTGTTCCCCATTTTTAAACACCACAGAAGCACAGCTAACTGGTTTCCTTCAGTCCGGCTGATAAACTGGATCTGATGTGTAGATGTAACATGGCAAGCACAAATTTCGCAGCTCTGAGCACTTACAACATCTGCATTTGGTAGAAAAAGATACGTGCATGCAAAGAATTAGAAAACGAGTCTGACAAATCATCCACAGTTTGAATATTCTGAGTACTAATGAATGAATTTACAAACTGTGTTGATGCTGGAGGAAGATTTGTAGCTTTGACCTTTTGTTGGACTGTTGCGTATTTCTTGTAGTACTAAATAACCAAACTAACTGTGTGTTATTGTTCATTTTGACTTTATAAACTCTGTAGTATTAGTGGAGGGAGCCATCTAAATCCAACAAGGCAAATCACTAAATCTTCAGTTTTAGCTTAAAAAGAAAAACACTGTTAAGTTGGTTTGTGTTTATGAATTGTAGACAGAAATAAGACAATATCTGAACAGAGAAGTGATTAATAACGCAGACTCTCCCTCTCGCTCTCTCATCTTCTCATTTCAATGTCAGACTGTGGCTTTTGGTTAAAAACCTACGTATTGCATCTATAAACAAATATTACACCACATCTGTACGCATCATAAAATTATTTCCAAATAAAGATGATTAAAAACCTGCTTTTAGGTTGATTAGGGATCCTAAGTTTTGCGAATGAAAACGGCAAATGAAGAGAAACGTTCTGTCAATCACACATTTACAGTTGGATCTTAAACTGGACACAGGTCCAGCTGGGAAAGAGTTAATGATGTAAACTGGATCACAGCTCTTTCCCATCTTCTGTCTGCTGATTACAGCTCTCCATCGTCAATATTTTTCTCTATCCCCCCTCCCTCCCTCTGCAGCCTTCCTCCTCTTTATTTCCCCTCCTCTTCCAGTCTCCTCCTTCTCCATCCCTCCTCCCCTCATGTCCAAGTGCCCAGCCCCTTTCATTAAGCCCAGTATGAAAAGGGGAGTCTCTTGCTGGCAGTCGCACCACCACAGCCCCACAGGAGCTTCACTCAGGCCTGCAGCCGACGGCCAAACCCTCATCTGTGTCCTTCAGAGTGACGCCCGGCTTTCTTCAAACTCTTTCTCCTTTTTGATGCTGACATGGAGTTTCAAAGTGTGTTCAAAAGCTTCCACCCAAACAACCTCGGTGAAGAGAAGCAACAAATGCTGAACCTGAACAGACGCCTGGAGTCCTACCTGAGCCGGGTCAAACTTCTGGAGGAGGAAAACGAGCAGCTTGCATATGAGATCGAAGCAATCAGACACAACGACCAGGAGGCCCAGGCACTTAGGAGAGGCTTAGAGGAGGAGCTGCAGCAGGCGAGGCTGCAAGTGGACGCAGCTTGGAGGGAGAGGGTCCTCACAGAGCTGGAAGTGGAGAAGATGAACGAAGAGCTCCAAGACTTAGAGCTGCAAAGACAGAGGGAAGCTCAGGCCAAAGTGACAGCCAAATCCAAGCTGGAGCAAAGCCGAAAGGAGCTGCAGGAGGAAGAGAGGGCACAGATCTGGCTCAGGGAGGAGGTCAATCAGTTGGAGAATGAAATGAGACATCTCATTCACGCCCACGAGGAAGACGTGGCTCATTTGGAGACCACGATGGTTCGATCCAGAGCCACGATGCCTCCAACTCTGGCTCAAAGGGCCAAGCAGACACCAGAGCTCCTCAGGGTGGGGCAGGAGTTTTCCCAGAGGGCAACCAGAGCCTGGCAGGAGGCTGCAGGGGCCTATCAGGGACAGCTAGCTCGGTTAGAGGAATCCCTCAACCAGGCCAGGAGCCGTTTGAATCAAGTTCAGCAGGAGAAACACGAGAGCCAGCTGGAGCTTCAAACCCTGGAGAAAGAGCTCGCTTCAGCTCAGGATGTCAGGCAACATCTGGAGAAGAGTGTGTCCCACTGCCGAGAGGAACACCTCCAGGAGATCCAACACCTCCAGGTGAGGAGTCTGTTGCAGTACCACTCATCTTTGGTTGAAATTACTTAAGTTGTTTTGTAAGCAGTTAAAAAATATTTGCAAATTAATTAAGAATCTTGGCTTAAGACAAAAAGTGAACATTTATTTCTCAGTTAAAACAAATTAATTAAGATTTGAGGCAGCCCAATAATTCAATGTTTAACAGATTATATGTTCAAACAAGTTTGTTACCTCAGATAAACAACATTATTAATGTACTTTTTATGTATGTGAATGTTTCTGTGTGTCCTAAGGTGACTTGTGTTGTGACTGACCTGGTGCTGTATAAATAAAGTGAACTGAATTGAAAAGACCATATTTTAAAGTCAGTCTTTAAATGCACTAACTTAAAAGAGCTTTTCAAAACATGTGGGTTTCCTCATTATTGATCTTCAGTTCCTTTAAGTACTTTTTTTTTATTGGAGGTTTCTGAAAACCAGCAAGTTGTCCAGCTGACTTGCTCCTGAACTGTTCCCATGAGGTCAGCACCGACTGTCCAGCTCTGTTCAGTCAGTCAGGCAAGACGACGAAGCAACGTGTCCATCTGAGGTAATGGAGCGATAATCCACAGCTCCATGCAAACACTTCAGAACCAGCGTCAGGCCCAAGCTCAGACAAAATGTAGCTCTGGCGCATCTATTGTTGAACAAAAATGAAGTGCTGGGAAAAACTGCACACTGTATTTAAACGAAAATCTTACATATAACGATTTTAACACATAAACATCAGAGGGAGAAGGCCTTTAAGACCTGCAAGTGACTTTACTGTGTTAGCTCCTCGCCGTAAATACAAATATACAGTGAGGAACTAAATATAAAAATATGTACCTCGCGGTGCATATCTTTGGATTGAGGTTGTTAGGTTTAGTTCTGAGTCACTGTGAGGTCTGAGTGGCATTTTTTTTGTCTGTTAATGATAGATTAAAAAAAAAATGCTACAATGGCAGGTTGGTTTAGAAATGTCTTGTTTTGCAGCTGTTGCTGCTCTGAATTCTTTAGTTTGTCGAACCACAGAGCACGACAGACAGCAAAACAAAGTTCTCACAAGGTTTTTACCTGCTTCTATTTCCTGTTTGGGTAGGAGCACTTAGAGGATTTGGAGATGGAGAAGGCGGAGCTGAGCCAGCAGATTGACCACCTCCTGCAGGAGAACCGCGGCCTGGTGCAGCTGAAGGTGTCGCTCGGCCTGGAAGTAACAACGTACAGGTACACAGAGCAGAGGGCTGCTTGGGATTACTTAAAGTAAAAAACAATGTCCCCACAATGGTTCATGGCTTCTTAAATAAAACATTTGAAAGCAATTTTTTTAGACAGGATGCCAACTACTGTGTGTTTCTTTATCTATGAACAAAAAAAGCGACTAAAAATAGTTCAAACAAATAATTTACCAACAATATTTGTTTCCCAACGCAGATTACAGCCAGCTCGAAGTAGTTTGATCATGTGAACGAAGCTTCCGTGAGTTTTATTGGTGGATTCAGCTTTATGTACATTAAGTGCAGACCTGCATTTAAGAGTTGGATTATTTACACCTGAAATACCACCATGGTAAACTTGTTTGGACTGAATAGTTTAATATAGTTCAGGATTTTTACGTTTGATTTCATACGGTGCAGTAAGTACCGCTAAAGTTTTGTTTGTTCCTTTTTAACATTTTTAATTCTACCATACGGTTTGCAGCGCTATTTTATTGCTTCAAAAACTATAAAATACACATCTTTGTTTATTTCCATACTTTAGCTGAATAAATCTTGTAAAAGAATAAATAAAAACACACAAAGGTGTGTATTTTATATTTATTGAAGCAATTCAATTCAACCTGTTTAAATAAAGGTTGAATTGAACTGAATTGAGTTGCTTCAATAACTTTAAAATTCACATATTTGTGTTTTTTATTTCTCATTTTACAAGATTTATTCTGCTAAAGTAGGAAGACATGTGAACAAGATAATTTGAAAGCTGCAAAATTAATGAAACTGTTCATCTGCTGTGGTTTACGCCGGGGGTTCTCAAACGTTTTGGGTTCAGGGGAGAAAAAGTTTCAGGGGCCCCCTCATAACCCTCATGTTTATTAAATAATTTTCTTCAATTTGTCTCTTTAATGCAATGGAAATATTTGTGTAACATAAATACTTAAGACCTGTTCTTTAATAGTGTTAATACAATTTCTACACTTTTAAACATGGGCTATTTTTCATTCAAGACAAATTTAATTAACAAAATTTTTAATTTCAGCTTCCAAAAATGATAGTTTTGAGAAAATTAACATCATCAAAATCCACTTTAAAACTTTACCTATTCATTCAACCTTTACAGGTTAGTCCCACTGAGCCCCGGGGACTCATTGACAAGAGAGACCTGAATTTACATAAAGAACACAAAGTATCGCCACTTCTTCAAATTATTACAGAAAACTGAACAGAACCATAACAGCAGGAGTCATAAAGTAACAGGGCTACATTTGTGAGCCAATCGATGCTGGAATGCAAATAGTGGGTGGGGAGGGGGGGTTCATAGGTCAGGGGGTCCTCCCCTAGAAAATTTTAATAAAGTAGATGTGATTTCCTGCATTTTGGTATATTTTAACGAGCTAATATCTACATTCTT